CACCAGGCAGGAAATAAGCTTCGGTTTGCTTATTGCCTTTGGTTGAAATCCTCCCATTACTCACATTCAGCTAGAGTGCCATAGATCTACTAACAGGTTTAAAAGTACTCACTGATGTGGGTTTTAAAATGCAGCAGACAACACAGCAGAGGTACTTTCTCTTTCACTCCTTAGACGAAGATTTCACAACGCTTTGGAAGTAATGTGGCCTTCAAGATATGGGTAGGGAAACGCCAGCCCATTGTGCAATGCAGTGTGACCACGTGAATGAAGGGAACTCAACTGCTTGTTTCTGGGGTCTCATACATGCCATGTTCCCTCACACAGAGAGTTCTAGAAGAACATATGTGAGAAAAGAGAATCGGTCAGTGTGGCTCACTTCACCTTTCCCAAAGTTTCCCTGAGAGCTGTTGGAATAGGTCAGAAATGGCCAAGTCCTTTGAGCTCTCTCTGGCAAAGAATAAGAAAAAGCAGAGGCAAAGGAAAAGTCTGCAAGGAGGTTTGAAAAAGGAAAAGACAGATGCTGCGACGAATGTCCCCAACGAACCCAGTAACATCTACCTCTACCAGAGCTAGCAGGGTGCTGTGAGAAAGCACTAGTCTTTGTGTCATGGCTTCGACACTTCTCACGAAGCAAGAGTTCCTAATACTTTTTTACTGTGAATTTGTCAACATCACTTTCTTTCCTAATGAATAACAATGATGAGTATTTTCCATGACTCTCCACAATTCCATTCAGCACTTCACTTTTTCTACTTTCTAAAGTGTTCTCGTGTTTCTAAAAACACAGGTGGCCTATACTATTATATTAGCTTGTGGCTGTGGCAGAAACCTTTTCTCTCACCGTAATTGCTTGGGGAGCTTTTCTGGCTGGAACACAGGTAAAAGCTGAAAGCGTTCCTCTGAGAGTTGAGCTTTGTCGGAATAAGAACTACAAAGGCACGGATTTATGTTTTTAAAGATACCATAAGCTGGTTTTATGTAGCTTTATGCCTTTGTCCTAAACTCCCTTCTCCTCGAAAACCACCTGCAACTGTTTGGAAATTAACTGCCTCTGACATCTGAAGGGAAAAAAGCAAAACTATACAATCTACAAAAACTTCACCTGCTACCACAATGAGAGTCAGGGGACACAAAGGAAAGGATCATCTTCAATTACCCAGTCTAACCACTGAAACTAAGAGACTTCATTTAACCAAGAAAATTAAAAGAAAACAGATGAAACCTGAAGGATATGCTGATGTGAGATGTATTATTGCTTCCAGATAGGACCCTAACCATGAAATGTTAGCTATTTCTTTTTTAAAAATAAAATTTCTGGGGCCAGTCCCATGGCCGAGTGGTTAAGTTCACAGGCTCCGCTTTGGTAGCCCGGGGTTTGCAGGTTCAGATGGTGGGTGTGGACCTACACACGGTTCATCAAGCCAATGCTGTGGCAGCCTCCCACATAGAAGAACTAGAATGACCTACAACTAGGATATACAACTATGTACTGCGGCTTTGGGGAGAAAATAAAAAAGAGGAAGATTGGCAACAGATGTTAGCTCAGGATGAATCTTCCTCAGCAAAAAATCAAAATTAAAAAATAAATAAAAATAAAACTTCTTTTATTATGAATGTAAAACATGCCCACTACAGCAAATTTGGAAAATAAAGTATAAAGAAAAATCAAAACCATATTTTGTTCCAATACCAAAGATAACTACTGTTTAATATTCTAGTGCATTTCCTCCCTGTTTTTTTCTGGGCACAATTTCTTGACATAGTTCTGAACTATGTGTGTATGTGTGTACATAATGTGTGTACACAATTTTGGGACAGTGCTTCAATGTACTGTAGATTTCTATCTTGATATAATATCGGAAGTCCTCTTCCTCTCTATATTATGAACTCTTTCTGAACATAATTTTTTCAGTTGGCTTAATAGTCCATTGAAGTGGATGTTCCATAATTTACTGAACTTTCCCTACTGGTAACAACAAAGGTTGTTTAAATCTTTTACCATCGTAAATAATGCTGTGGTGAACAATTTTGCCTAAAATTTTTCTGTTTCAAATTCTTTCTTTTTTTTTTTTCAGGAAGATTACCCCTGAGTTAACATCTGCTGCCAATCCTCCTCTTTTTGCTGAGGGAGACTGGCCTTGAGCTGACATCCGTGCCCATCTTCCTCTAGTTTATATGTGGGAAGCCCACCACAGCAGGCTTGCCAAGTGGTGCCATGTCCACACACGGGATCTGAACCAGCGAATCCCGGGCTGCAGAAGCGTAATGGAACTTAACCACTGCGCCACCAGGCCGGACCCTCTTTCAAATTATTTCTGCAGAACAGATTCATAGAAGGGAATTAGAGGTAAAAACTAATAAATATTTAAAAGGTGTTCAAAGATTTCAACACAGGGCTTGGGTTGTCTCTTATGGCTTGGATGGGTGCAGAATGGGAGTTTTGCTGTTTTTTGGTTTTTAATGGAGATTCAAAATAGGGAAGGGACCCCATGTTCCCAGAAGCTTCAGAGCTGCTTTAGAGCTTATCAATACTTCTTTTGGACTTTCATAGTACTCTAGTATTTCTGTGGATGAAGAATGTGATGCATTTTAAGAGCAAGTTAGAAAAAATAAAAAGAATAAATGTTGATGCAAATCCTTTAGAGGTTTTCTCATATTTTAATATTCATTCTGGAGATGCGATCAGCAGTCCACGAAGTCCCCTTCTTCAGATATCACAGATTAAACAGAGATTTAAGACCAGGTAAGAACTGAGGATACTGTTAGCACAACTTCTTTATTTACAGATACAAGAAGAAAACCTCCATGGGGCATTGGCTAGGAGAAGTGGGGAGGAAGAGCATAAAGTGGAGTTAACAGCCTGAGAATAAAATGGAAGGCTTTACTTGCAGAAGTTAACATTTACCAGTCTCCCTGGTTCTTACTCTTTTACCCATTTCTAGAAATTCTTTCCCCAAATAAGAAATTATTGAAACTTTGTTCTTCAAGATGGTGTGGGGGAGACATGTGACCAGCCCACTCTCTCTAAAATGAAGTGGTTTATTTTCAGGTGCATGGGAAAAAGGTAAAGAACTTGTCGCCTCTGTGTAGATGTAGGAGTTATCCTAGAAACCTACAGCATTCATTGAAGCAGAAAATTTCCTGAGGAAATCCTACATTTTCACCTGTCAATCACCTATCAACAAATATTCATGGGGCAAATCTTATATGCGAGAACTGTAGGTTTGTGTTTCAAAGGCTAATTGCTGAACCAATGCAAAGCTATAAATTAAGGGGTATTTAAGTTCCTTAACTCATCATTTACGTCACAAGGAACTAACAGACACCTTACATAAGAGCAGAAGAGACTTCAAGACTGCTATAGGCCACAGTTAAGAGCTTTCATTCTCTTGGTTCAAGCAATTTAGAAAGTGTTTAAGGGCTTTTAAAGAGTGGGGTTTTCTCTTTTTCTGATGGACAGCTATTCATGTTTCAGGTAATGAATTTTTTTGTGTGTGTGAGGAAGATGGGCCCTGAGCTAACATCTATTGCCCATCTTCTTTTTGCTTGAGAAAGATTGTCGCTAAGCTCACATCTTGTGCCACTCTTCCTCTATTTTGTATGTGGGACACTGCCACAGCATGGCTTGATGAGCGGTGTGTAGGTCTGCACCCAGGATCTGAACCTGCAAACCCTAGGCCACTGAAGCGGAGTGTGCAAACGTAGCACAATGCCACTGGGCCCGCCCCTCAGGTAACTAATTTTTAAATGAAAAGAAAGTTACTTTAATTTGTGTCAGTTTTACCTGGCTTTACATCAACATTGTTTTTATTTAATGGGATACAGTAAATGCACTGTCAGTAAAACTAGAAAAGATACTGATGTAGCTGCCATCTGAATTTAACAAACACAAGGCAATTCCATACGCTATATACATAGAGAATGTCTGGTATTAGTACTATTTTTTAAGACAAGTTGTGCTCTATTAAAGTTCAACTGTGACTTGATATGCCATGAAAGTCATCCTAGATTATTTGAAAGATAGTGGATACTGCTATCTTTGAGAATTCTTTATCTTCATTTTTTTCTAAATCAAGACTGTTGAATTTTTGTTTTGAGTAGTTGGGTATCTTTAGAGAGTATATAACAGCCCATAAGTTGTAAAATGGTAAGAAATAATAGTTGGACAGGATTGGGAAGGAAGATAATGGACTCTGACAATGATAAGAGGCACGGTGAACAGGAAGCCGTAGCTAAATGTAATTTTGAGTGGTTTCCCATTTGCGAAAGTTGAATTATGTTAGGTGGGGCATCTCTATGTGTGGAAAGAATTATTTTTCTGTTTGACAGGTAGAAGATGTTATTAGAGATGAAACAATGCCTTCCCACCCATATCCTCTTCTAAGGAAACCACTCTCTCAAACCACCCATTGAGGGAGTTGTGGCCACTCTGTCACTGGAGTCCCAGAAGGACAGGAGAAGGAGGGGGGATGAAAAAGCAGTCATAGAGATAATGGGTGAAAATTTCCCAAACTTGGCAAAAAATATATAGGCAAATACAACAGACTTTCCTTTGCGTCTAAAATTTTCTAAATTTTCTTTCAAGAAGTAAAAAGTATAACATTGTATGATGTGACTCAATGTACATGGAGGAAACGTTTGAGATAATTATATTATAAATGAGAGGGGCAAAGGGACTTGGAGAGAGAGAAGGTTTCTACACTTCATTCAAACTGGTAAAATGTGGACAACAGTAGATCTTTGTGGTGATGGAATAGTTCTGTATCTTGATTGCAGTGGTGGTTGCAAGAATCTACAAATGTAATAAGATGTGAGTTATCCATATACATTGTACCGACCTCAACTTCCTGTTTTTTTGGGGTTTTTTTTGAGGAAGATTAGCCCTGAGCTAACTGCCGCCAACCCTCCTCTTTTCGCTGAGGAACTGGTCCTGAGCTAACATCTATGCCCATCTTCCTCTACTTTATACGTGGGATGCCTACCACAGCATGGCGTGCCAAGTGGTGCCATGTCCACACCTGGGATCCGAACCCGCGAACCACGGGCTGCTGAGAAGCGGAACGTGTGAACTTAACCGCTGTGCCACCGGGTCGGCCCCTCCTGGGTTTGATACTGTATGCTGGTTATCCAAGACATAACCGTTGGGGGAAACTGGGTAAGGGGTACAAGACACCTCTCTGTACTATCTTTGTAATTTCCTATAACTCTATAATTATTTCTAAACAAAAAGTTAAAAATAAAGATGATGGAAAGAAGTTCCTTGAAAATGATAAAAGCAAACACTTCATGTCTCATTATGATTCTCTGGCCATAATCAACATTTTGGAAGAGGGAAAGGTTTTTCAGAAGCAAAGCTGTGGGTGGATGGACTCAGTGATTTTCTTTTTTAAATTAAATTTAATCGTGGGGGAAAATATGTGATGGAATAAGAATATCAGATGGAAAAGAACGTCAAGGTTGGCCTTTAAGAGAGACAGGATGGCAATCCTACCCAGAAATTCAGGATGAGTTTCCATCTTGATCACATCCCTTCTCAGGGATACGCTTCTAAAGTATGAAATTGGTTAAGTAAAGTTAATTTCAATAATATTATGTATCCCCTTGAAGCCATAAAACTATAAAATACTTTAGGATGAAAACTAATTAAATTTTGATAGTTTCTCATATTTTTACAGATAATTTAGGCTAGTTATTTTCTTCTGTAAGTTAAAAGTTATCAGAATTAGTATTCTCAATAATAATGATAACTTTTTGTTTCCTCTTTAACCTTTTTCTATCAATTATCTTTATGTTGGTGGAATCTCCAAGTCAGCAGGACACTAGCAGGTGGCAAGGAAAGCTTTCAGAGAGTTAATAGTGACATGATCATTGATTCATCATTACAATAAATATAAGGCTGGGTTTTTTTTTGCCAATATAGTAAAATCACGGCACTATTCATTTTAATTTTCTCTGTTTTTAAATAAGGACACTTGGCAGCAGTAAAAGGTTGCCCTGAACCCTTGACAGAAAGTCAAAGGCAAGAGTAATAGACAGAAATACAAAACCTTGAGTCTTGGCTTTATCACCTGGAGCTACATAATGCTGCCACCAAACCTGCTGTTAGGGTTGTTCAAGTGCCAGCATCATTACAGGTATGGTTTTCAACTGCTGTTACTTTGCTATATTTGTTAAAGCTCAATACAAATTAGATCAGACAACTCTGGACTATGAAGGCTTTAAAAAATGGCAGTTTCTTTAAGTACAAAACAGTGTCCATGGAGGTATCATAAAGATTTTTAAAAAAGTGAATTTCTATGTTGTCATGTCACTAATTTTTTTGAGAAATCTCCCATATAATATATGTTCACATTGAAGGAGTCTGACTTTCTAATTTGTGTTTCCTGACTGATCTTTGCAACTGGGTTGTGAAGGCTCACATCTTTGCTTTACAACTTCAGCGAGAGACCAGTCAGATCCGGATTAAATCGTTGTAGTATTCTTTTACTTAGTCCAACGCAGAGACCTCTGATCATTTCGCCAGCCACGAGACAGAATTTACCATCTGCTTAGTTTACACCGGAGTTGGCAAAACTTTTTTTTTTCCATTCAGTGCTGTCTGACAACACTATGACTAGATCAAGAGATTGGATATTTGATCTTTTAAATCTGTCATAACGTCAAAATGACAAAGTGCAATGTGAAATTTTAAACTCAGAGAGTATTTTCCTCTTATAGGCTTTTCTCTATTCATTTTAATTTCTATTTTTTTACCTCTTTGATTTCGCTTTAAACAATATTCCACAGTTAGACAAATGAACATGAAAAACCATGTCAATAATATGTGAACAAAAGTTTCTTTTAAAAAGAGAGATTTTCAGAAATTTGTATGGAAAATAGTTTTTAAACCTGGCAGAAGCTAAATGAACATTTGTAGGAAGAAAAATGAAAGAAAAGAGCTCCTAGGCCTCTTATTCCACAGACAGATTTGTAGTGAATTATTTCAGGGTATATAATACTTTACTAAGCATTTATTGATGGATCAAGAGAATTTAGGTGGCTCCTCCGTCACTTACTAGTTGTAGGGCCTTGGTTAAGTTGTGTAAACTCTCTAAGCCTTAATTTTTTTCCCTGTATGATGAAAATGATGATATCCTATCATGTGCATGTCATGGAGTATTCATTAGGATTACAGGAGATAATCTCTGCAGCTGGCTCATAATGCTTGTCAAATAGTAAGTGCTCAAAGGCTAGCCATTATTATAATTGTTAAACTAAGCCAGATTGAGAGACTTAAAGTCAAAGCCAGGGAAGAGGCATTCTAACGTGTCATTTACGTAGTGCTTCCTTATTAATGATCTCATTTGAACCTCCTAATAATCCTAAAGGCCAGAAGACCCTGGAGCCCCTTCGCTGTTGGCCATGTGACAGCCCCTCAGATGGCAAAGGCAGACTTGTGGGCTGTCTACAGATCCGGACACCTGGAGGCTCGGCTCTGTTCCAAGAGGTGATTTATGTAGGCAACACAACCCGAGGAGAGGAAAGCCTACGCGGCCCTTTAGACTTCACATCTTCTTCTACGCCTGATAGGACTTTCGCATTTTACAACTGCATAATAATTCTGTTATTAGGAGGAATGCCCCTTCATGTGCCCCAAATAAAAAAAGGAAAAGTTAAAACCAGAAGTCTTCCAAAACTTAACAGGTCGGTTTTCTCAGATAGGAAAACCAGACAAGTTACCTCACAAGAAGCATAGGCTGTGCCACAAACCTTGCTCTTAGTTTTCTTTCGGTCTGAGCGTCCTCAGATGGGGGTAGGTGGATGTCTCCAGTTCTACTGGGACTTTTGGAGAAATTGAAGGAAGGGAACCTCATTAGCAGAAGGACAAGGAACTAGTCCAGGCGATATCTGAATATTTATTATTTGACCTTATCTTGAATGGAAAGGAAAGGCTCTTTGTTCAAAAAACTTCTGACTGATGCCTGTTCTTTGGACTTCCCTCATTGCTTTATAAAAACAACCTATTAATTAACTTACTGCCTGTTAGAAAGAAGTGAGCTTTCTCTGAACTCTCACAATTGGTCATTACTGCTGGTAAGAGAAGCAGCATTATGATTTCCTTTTACATATGAAGAAAATGACGTTCAGATTAACTTTATAATCATGCAATAAATAATTTGGAGATCTGGGACCCAAGCAAGCAAAGGGCTATGGCAGGGAGACCTGGGCTTTTGTTCTGACTTTGCCTACAGCTCGAGGCCACCACTTTGGTCCTTAGTTTTCTTGCCTTAAAATGGGTTCAGTGGATTAGATTGGGGTGGTAACCTTTTTCTGTAAAGGGCCAGATGTAAACATTTGTGGCTTTCTGGGCCATCCAGTCTCTGCGGCAACTACTCAACTCTGCCACTGGAGAGTAAAAGCAGCCACAGACAACATGTGAAACAAACGGGTGTGACATTGTGCCAATAAAACTTCATTTGCAAAAATAGGCAGCGGCATGGATTTGGTCCATAGGCTGCAGTTTGCAGACCCCTGGACTAGATGATATAGAAGTTTCTTCTACTGCTAAAATTTTATGATTCAACTTGTTTTAATGGCAATGCTATTTCCCTAGGAAAGTCATCTTGATTACACAATCGTCTGCTGATTATACAGTTTATGAGTACTTAAATATTTTTCTGATGTTCATTGTAGCATGATTCACAATAGCCAAGGTATGGAAACTACTTAAGTGTCGTCTGTTAATGGATGAATAGATAAAAAAGAGGTGGTGTATATATACAATGGAATATTATTCAGCCATGAGAAAGAAGGAAATCCTGCTATTTGTGACAACCTAGATGGACCTTGAGGGCAGTACGCTAAGTGAGCTAAGTCAGACAGAGAAAGACAAATACTTACATGTCGACCCTAAAAAAGCCAAACTCGTAGAAACAGAGAGTAAAATAGTGGTTACTGTCAGGCTGGGGGGTGGAGAATTGGGGAGATGTTGAGCAAAGGGTACAAACTTGCAGTTGAAGATGAGTAAGTTCTGGAGATCTAACACACAGCATAGTGATTTAGCCAACACTATTGTATTATATACTTCAAAGCTGCTGAGAGACTAGATCTTAAATATTCCCCTTACAAAAGAGAAATGATAATTATGTGAGTGCTAGAGGATTTAGCTAATGCTGTGGTGATAATCATACTGCAATATACAAAAGTATCAAATCAATACATTGTACACCTTAAATTTACACAATGCTGTATGTCAATTATATCTCAATAAAAAGTATTTTTCTGCTTCTTCTCTCTCCTTTCTTCCTCCATTATTGAATGCCTACTATGTGTACTGCAAATATAAATTACCTTAGTGTTATTCTGCTCAAGATTTTATGTGTTTAAGGTTTTTTGGGTTTTTTAGGGGGATGGGGGGTGAGGATCAGGGAATATGGGATTGGAGTGTAGGATGCTTGAGGGTAGGTTGAAATGTGATCTTCTGGGTGGGATGGCTGACTGGGAGTGAAGACGCAAATGTGTGGGAGGACCTCTGGAACATTAGCCCCGATCTCAAACGATCAAGAGTAGCTGCTTTTGCTATACTGAGCATGACCTGAGTCCGTGTGTCAGACCTGACAGCAATGGAAGAGTGTGTGAAGCAGGACTACAGAAGAATGGGTCTCAGTTCAGGGGAAAATATGATCTCTTGTTAGAAAAATCAAACTGTAAATACTGCTGTCCCAGGGCTCCAAACCACACCCAACAGGGCAAACGGTGTTGACTCCCTGACTGGGGTCCTCGCCCAGGGAGAAGCTTTATCCTGTGCCCGCACTGCCCTTCCTGGGGGCTCCGTGGAGGAATGGAGACCAGCTGAACTCCATCAACTTTTAAGAGCTTCCCCTAACAAGAAAAGAATATAACACAAAGGCAAAACTTCAAGAGCAACAGTGTGGCAGATGAAGCTACTTATTCTATAGAAATTATATTATTGCTACATAAAGCTTCTTTGAAAAGCTTGTAATTTCAAAGTGAAAACTTTTCTTGAGAGACCAGAGAATCAAATATCATAATAGTTTGCTATTTCCATCCAAGATAATCATTTTTATCCAAATATTATATTGGCTTTTAAAATCAAAAAAAGCAATAAATGCTTATATTAAAAATTTCCCTCTTTCTATACCACCTGACCCTCCCATAGAGCGAGGACCCAAACAAGCAAAGGACTATGGTAGGGAGACCTGGGGTTTTGTTCTGCCTACTTGCTGGGTAGCCACTGCAAATGGTGTACGTGTGTCCTTTCAGACCACATGTGTGTCTGGGTATCTGTATGGGTGTATCTACTGATGATGATTATACGATTTTTTTGCTTATTCAGACTACCGGTATTCATCAGATACAAGTCTGTCCACCTACAATGTGGTAATGCTTTTGATAGGTCCTAGAAAATGCTCGGTGTCAGAAGCAGAAAGAAAACTCATCCTTAAACACATACAATGCATCGGTATAGTCCATAAAAATCAGGTTTACTCCCTACTCTGAAGTGGAGGTTTGAGTATATTTCCGGCACCAAGTTCTACTGTTACCTAAATTATTGAGATGACTGAGGCAAGGGTGCTTGTTTTCCCATAGTCCAGAGGATAACTAAGCCACTTTTTCATTTTACTTTTCTACAGTAGGTCTGATCTTAACCTAATAGTCCCAGGTGCAGTGGTTTACGTAAAAACTTGCTGACTCTCTTAGATGGACAGATACCTGGGTGCTTGAAGCAGAAGACAGGCTGAGAGAATATAAGATTCTATGATCATTAGATAAGCCAAAAAGTCAATAAACCAAAGGAAGCATCACTATAAGTCCCTCTCTAACTCAGTTCCTAATTTGCCCTGATTTGCTGGGACAAGCCTCCATTAATTCTTGCTCACATCGCTATGGGATCCTGAGGGCCACGTGGAGCCGAGCCCATCTTTCTGACTCTCCCATGTGTTATCAGACACTTTTGTGGACTTTTGTCTGTGGTTCATTTTGCTAATATGAAGACTGGACAAGGCTGGAAGAGAAAAGCTTAATAGTGTATTTTCTTGAAAATTTGAATAATTTAAATGGGCTGACACAAAAATCAGAGACTCAGAATGCAGATTGTTGTGGGGGAAAATTATGGCTAATAACTGCGTTGACAAAAAAGAATTTTTTCCGGGCAAGAGGAAGTTTAGGAAAAATGGAACCTGTTGTGAGTATCTAAGAATAATGAGCAAAGGAAGAGAAGCGAAAGGAGAAATCTATGTCATGTTCTACTCAAGACGATGTAAATGACGTACATCGGGGAAACGGTTAACATTCGAGCAAAGTAATTTCCTGATTTCCACAGATGAGTGAATTCTTTCAAAAATTAGCAAGTCCTGTGAGAAAATAGATTTTCTGTGTTTTCTACAGGAAATTGTATTTGATTTGCTGTCAGAAGGAAACCAGTAGAAGAATAAAATTAATATGACAGTATTGAGATCACGTGAGAGAGAAAGGAAAATGTGAGCATGTGTGTATGTGTGAGTGTGTCTGTGTGAAAGAGAGAACACAGGAGTAGTGCGGAGGGGTAGAATGAAGGACGCAACCTTATTATATCATAAAATAACGGCTTTTTAAAAAAGAACAAATCTATGGCAGAGAGAAACTGTGAAAGGCGCTATTAGAATTCTTAGAGTTGCACTCAAATATCTGAAAGGGTTACTTAGAATCTACTACCATATTTAGTTCTTAAATTGTTTATTTTTCCACGACTGTAAAGATGATATATCATATTCAGTTTGATGGTTAAGGGTGAAGTCGCCAGCTGCCCCACGCAGAAATCTGGTATTTTATGCTTCAACGCTCCCAGGGACAAGTCACATCTTTCCGCCCCTAAGCCCTGCAGCTGCAGCCAAGACTGGAGTCCCCTCCCCTCCCAGAGAGCTGCAGGGGGATATGGCTCCGGACCTGGGATGAGGCATACAGACCCAAGGAGCGGATGCAATCACCTTTGTGGTGTTTTCGTTTACTTCTCCCTGCTTCTTGGCATTCTCCCACATAGGGCCAAGGGCTAAAGCCCCTCCAATTCAATTTACACTCTAAATGGACCAACACAGGACATCCTCTGAGGCCCTACTCATCTCCTTCTCTGACAGGCCTGATAAATGTCAGATTAGCAAATACTACAAACACTACAAACAATTTTGTAGTCTAAGTGTGTGCCATCCAATATTTGGGATATACTTACACTACAAAATTATTCACTAATTATCTGAAATTCACCTGTAACTGGGAATCCTATTGTCTGTACTCTTGGAACCTCTGGAGTATCTGGGAAGGGTTTTAGGAAGGCCAGAATACGGGTATTTGGGGTCAAGAGCACAGCACAAGAACTGATGCAGAAAGTGTAAGTAAATTGTCTCTTAAATGACAAAACCACAAAATACCCCCGAGGGCTAAGCAGAGAAAAGCCATTCCCAGTCTCTTGCCCCTTTATCCACAACACTGCTCCCTGAGGAGGGAGGAGGGAGCCAGTGGCACTTGGCACTTCTGGGCAAGCATCTGCATTTTGTGTGTTCAAGCAGTGATTTCAGCACAGAAGAGCAGCTGGCAGGTGACGGGACTATTTTACAGAGAATGGACCAGACACTGGGAAAGAGCTGTGCGTGGAGTAGGGGTAGCGAAAATGGGGAACACCAAAGACACAGTAATACGCCAGAGGCACAGGGCAGAACTTCAAACTACACTTACTGCACGAATGTAAACACACACATAAATATGCCCATGGATGAATTAAAAAATATACCTTTTCATTTCATAAATCAATATTAGCTAATTTATTAACTTTGTGACTGTCTTTGTAGAACTTCCTAGTGAGCAAGACAAACATTTACCGTGTTGAGTTGGAGACAGCCAGCCAGGGCTAGAGTCGCTGGGCTCCCTGTGGAGCTGCTGAGCCAATGCAGCATCTAGAAGCATCCTTTTCCTTAATCCTGAGATCTTCATTTGCGTTAGTCAAAATGAACTCCTATTGTTTAACCACTAATGGTTTTTTTTTTTTTTACAAATTTGTATCTCAATCTCCTATCTCAAGTTAGTAAGATTTTAACTCACGTTTGAGGACCTAATTAATTCTCAAGCCTGCAGAAGTTCTAGGCTGAATGATAATTACTGACATTTGGGGCACCTAGAATGAAAACTGAATAATACAATATCCTGGCACAGGCTTTTCCTTCTAATTTATTCATCGTTACTTATCTTGACTCTAGGTTTGACGATCTTCTTGTGGAACTACTCCTATATTGGAATTATGCTGAATTCAATCAAATTCAAGACTGGAGGGAGGGAATTTTCTTCTGAGACCCAAATGTTACTAAAAAAAACACACCACCACACACATTGTCGAGCATAACCCCCGGCTATATTCCCATGAAGGTTCCAGTGTCATGGAAACCAGTTAAGCTCTTCTGTGCCCCTCTGCCTAAAACCTACTGATGAAAATACAGTTTAATGGTATAAACCTAAATTCACTTTAGAGAAAAATGGAGGTACTCTATACGTACGACAGTCAGAGGGTTTAAAATAATGAAATAAAATTGCCCTCTGTTATAATGAAAGAAAACTCATAAAATGTTCAATCAGTAGTACTGGGTCATCCATTTCTTCCTTTTTATTTTCTCACAGTGATATTTCAGGTCTTTTGAGATAGTTATTTTGTGGATATCTTGGAATTAAAAAAGCATTCCAGCTCGGTGATTCTCAACAATCAGGATGTCTGATTGATTTGGGGGCTACACCCCTAGACGTCAGAGCCTGACTACAGAGAGTAGGAATTGATGGGGATGAGTTTGTTGGCTCCTAGGATGCTGTGTGGGGATCTCGGGAAGACCTACTCCGTGTGCTGTCCCTCTTGGTCCTGCACTTGCAGTTTCCTCTGCTGATACCAGAGATGGAGAGGGAGAGAGAACAAGGAGGTGAATGCGGCCAGAGGCTGGGGATAGAGACAGTCAGGGAAGCAAAGCCATTATTTTGTAGGGCATGGGCAGTATGTTGTCACCGGTAAGAGCATGGGCACAATGTACAGCCTTTCCGGACAATAGTGCTGTCGCCCAGGCGCAGAGGCCAGGCTGGGGGTGACCCATCGTCACCGGGGAGCCGGGAGACAGCCGCTCTGCTCACTCACCCGTGCTGCTCTGAATGGTCCTCACGGTGGTGGTGGTGCGCGGCGGGGAGGAGGACCTCAGGGACACGCACTCGTCGTCCTGGGAGCAGCCCTTCTCGATGGCTCGCACATAGCTGTGGCTCCGCATGCGGAAGCAGCCGGGCATGGGCAGGTCCAGGGCCTCCACAGCCTGCGACTCCAGCTCGCTGAACACAGATTCGCACACCGACTCGAACTGCCCGTTCACTTCCATTTCGCTCACCTGCGGGCAGAGACAGGACACCGTAGCACCGCGCACTTCTCAGCCCGGCGGAGAAGCAGCCTCTCCATTCAAGCATCTCCGAACGTCAGCCCGCCGGAAGAATGCCCCGTCCGATTACTTAAAATCCAATGCATTTTATTTCCTCCATGTTACAGACTGTAATTGAACGGTATCTAGTTTATAATCCCAAGTAGTCTGTTAAATTCTAAAGAAAAACAGCTTTGTTTTTAGAACGTAAGGAATTGTGGGGCTGGGAAGTCTTATTCCAGCGCGCGCCCAGGTGCTAATTCTCCTTATATATAAACGCAAATCTAGGGAACAATTTTATTGGCCCATAGAGTCTGAGTATTTCAGTTAAACTGTTTTCAGCACAAACATTTTAGAAACTAGTATTTTCATTGTGCTGTTGGAAGTGACTCGTTCATCAAATGACTTTAGTGTTGACTGAAGCTTGATTTAGTGCAAAGTATGGAAACAGGCCCTATATTTCTGGTAAGATACTTAACATTCTGCACAAAAATAGACTGAACCCAGATATGTCAAAATCTTCAAAAGCAGTCTCAAGATTTCCAAACTATTTACATACTATCTACAGAAGGTTTCACTCTTCTTTATTAAAAGCCCATATGGTCCACAAATTGTTTATAAATATGTTTTTAAATCTTCCAAATGAAGTCCTCCTTTTTTTTTTTTTGTCCTGCTGAGGAAGACTGGCCCTCAGCTAACATCTGCTGCCAATCTTCCTCTTTTTGGCTGAGGAAGATTCGCCCTGAGATAACATCTGTTGCCAATTGTCCTCTATTTTGTATGTGAGCTGTTGCCATAGCATGGCCCCTGACAAGTGGTGTAGGTCCATGCCCAGGAAGTGAACCTGGGCTGCCAGAGTGGAGCACACTGAACTTAACCCCTAGGTCACCAGGGCTGGCCTAAGTCTTCCTTTTTTTTTTGAGGAAGATTAGCCCTGAGCTAGCATTTGCTGCCAATCCTCCTCTTTTTGCTGAGGAAGACTGGCCCTGAACTAACATCCGTGCCCATCTTCCCTTACTTTATATGCGGGACACCTGCCACAGCACGGCTTGCCAAGCAGCGCCATGTCCGCACCCCGGAATCGAACTGGCGAACCCCAGGCTGTGGAAGCAGAACGTGCGAACTTAACCACTGCACCACCGGGCCAGCCCCAAAGTCTTCCTTTTTTTAAGGAATCAGTTTTTATTTACTTATATTCCTCTGTACATAATTATATTGGGTTTGAGCACCACCTAAAAAAAATTAGCCAGACCAGGTGCTCCAGTCAATTTCTCACTTTGCAGCTGATGAGATACAGATGTGGGACCATTCTTCAAATTTCTGCTATCTTCTAGAGCTTCAGAAGGCTAGTTTGCCTAATATCAAATTCATGAGTAATTGAGAATTTGCCAGATTAAATTACAATTAAGCTTAGAGCACATACCAAAAACAATCACAATTTTTGATTGTTTCTACATTTTGTGTCATCTGAAGATGAACTCCAGTAATGGCTAATTTCTTTAAACTTCAGATAAAAGTGACCGATTACCTGAAGGCATCAAGTGGGAAAGAGACATGCATTTCCTAATAATAATTCTTTACAGTTTAACATAGTATTTTCACATACTTTATTTAATTTGAAATAAAATTCCTTCATGTTTTCCAGGCTCATAATTATTTATGTCCACATTAAAAAATTAAATATATGTATTATATATATCCTTGCTTTCTAGGAACTACTTGGAGATGCATTTACAAGTAAATGCATCTTATTTGTAACTTATTGTCAAAAATAGAGAGAGAGAAGAAGGAATGGGCAAATGAACCAAAATCTTAGCAATCAGTGAATATGAATCTGGCTCAAGGATGTACAGAGTTCTTGGCATTCTACATGCAACTCTTTTGTAAGTTTGAAATGATTTCAAAGTAAAAAGTAAAACAAACTATATATGTATGTGTGTATATGTATATACATATGTGTATACATATCATTTATTAGATTTTACCCTTTTCATCAACATGCCAAATATAACAAAGAAATAGTGAAATATTTATCCCAGTTAAAGTAACAGCTATTAAACTTGGGTGACTATCTTTCCAGAGGATATATGTACTCCCTCCCGTATTTTTCATAAAAATTGAATCATAAAGTAAATATAATTCCGCAACATGTTTTTCTTTCTGCTAATCTTCTAGATTACATTTATATTCTTAATAAGATTCTCCTTTGTTCTCCTTTAACCTTTTGTTTTTATTGTATACAGATACAGAAAACCACACAAAATAAATGCATAACTTAATAAACTATATAATAAGGCAAACGCCTTTGTAACCACTAACCAGATCAAGAAACAGAACTTTTCCAGGCACCCCAGAAGCCCCTCCATATGCCCCATCCTAACCACAACCCCCACCCTCCCTCCAAAACTCACTACTACTGAGTTTTATTGCAATCACTTCTTTGCATTTCTTTATGTTTTTTTTTTTAGCCAAGTGTGCATCCCCAAACACTATAGTTTAGTCTTACTCAGTTTTAAAATTTGATGTAACTTTTAATTCACTTTTAACATACAGGTGTCCCTCCATCCATTTTCTTTTATCAGAATTTATCTATGGAAGCATCTGAGGCGTTTGACCTGTGAAGCTTCCCTTAGTCTGGATTTGCTGATTTCATTCTCGTGGTAGGATTTAGCATGTTCCTCTGTCTTTTGTCTTTCCTGAAAATTGCAAGCTGGAGCCAGAGGCAGGATCAGATTCAGGTTCAATCCCTTTGGCAAGACTAGAGGTCACGTATTCTTTCATCCGGAGCCACATAATGTCTGGGTTGTCTCTTTTTATGTTGTTTGGAGTCATTGTGCTCAATGTCTAGATCCACTAATTCACTGGGCGTTGCAAAATGGGGAAATTCTAATTCCATCATGACTTCTACAGTTACTAACTGGAACATTTTTATGAAGAAATGATTTCTCTCATATTATTTGATTACTCAATGATTTAGTTCAGATAGGAACAGCAGGAGAAACGATTGATTTTTTTCCTTTTATTTACTAATTGACAAGATAATAAATTTGTTTCCTCTTATCTACCAAAGGTGATCTATTAATTTTTAAAAATAGTAAAATGAACTCATAGATTTAAAAATATTCGACGGTTTTAAATTCACTTCAATGATTATTCTTAGTGAACTCAAATTTGTCCCATCTTTGGCCAGTAGGAGCCTCTTAGGTTGGCTGAGTCCTTTTGATATGAAAGTAGTAGTCTTTGATAGCTTCCTTGATATCTAATATGTCAAGGGATTTCAAACTCACCTTATACTTTTCCTGCCCAGTCCTGGAATCAGTATTTTTCCAAAAAGCCTTTTCTTTCTCAGTAGGAAATGGTATGACAAGAACGCAATCTGGGCGCCATGAAGCTTCATGGTCATTGCCTTGGGTTGATGCTTGTTCAGAGGGCAGAACTAGGTTATGAATACGTCCAATTCAAATTCAGACTGCAGAGTTTTAATGTAATCTCTTCTATATTATACTTATATCTTTATGCCAAACTAAAAATCCCAGTTCTCAAGGACATGGGAGATGATAGGATTGAGATAGTCTACAATTATTCATTTGCTTTTTTCCACAATATCTGCACAGCAGTCTCAGAATAGCATACAAATACTATCGCTGCCCATATCATTGTTGGAAACAGTTAACAATTTTTTTTTTTGCATATGCTCTCTCTATTCTTTGCTCATTTTAAAATAGCTGTGCTATATTTACATCACCAGAGTACATAACCTATATGTTCTCTCCTGCTTTAGCACTCATTTAGTCTTAATTTTACAAATAACTATATATTTAATACTTGTCACTACTTTTTTCGTAGAAAAAGATTACTCTTTATCAAACTTATACACAAATATAGGTCAAATAGTTCTAGACAGCTTATAAAGAAAAAGAGCAGGCTCCCGTCCCACCCTGCCCACCCAAGATTCTCCTTACCCAGAGGCGACCACTTTCAATTCTTCCAGCTGGATCTTCCAGTATTTGCATCCATATTGCCAAAAACTTGCTTATGTGAATCTCTTGATACTTTCATAGACCTCTGTCTGATAACCTCTTAATTTTCTTCTTGCCCTCGAAGCATCACTCTTGGACCCTTCTGTCCTTCTATTATAATCCATGGCTGGCAAGCCCACTGCTGTCCTGGGATCTCCCTTCCCCATCATTCTGGGGGTGCCCTTTGTTATCTAGCCTGTGGTAGAGACCCTGTTTCCTCTTCCTTGTTTTATTCCCTCCTTTTGGTGCAGCGCATCTTCCAGTGCTTTCCTGGGCAAGGCAGCCACCTGGCATTGATGGAAATGTCTGTATCCCACCTCCACTGTCAAGGGAGAGTGTGCTTGCATTTAGGATTCTGGCTTGCATGCTTTGTTCTTTCAGGCTTCGTTCCTTGTTTCTTAGCCTCCACGTATGCTGGAGATTGACTAAGACAGATACTTTTCTCATTCCTGGCCCTTTCTTTGGTAGCTGGTCTCTCCCATCCCCTCTGGAAGTTGTTTAGGATCTTCTTGTCCCGAATGAGCTAACATTTCATGATGCTCTTCCCTGTGTGGATCTTTCTCTACCCACTGTGCTGGGTACCGGGTGGGCCCTCTCAAAAATCTCTGCAAAATCATGTCTTTCAGTTCTGGGATTATTTCTTGAATTATTTCATTAGTGATTTCCATCCTTCTGTTTTTTCTTTTCTTTCTGGAACTCCTACTAGTTAGAGAAGTCCAAGTCGAAGAAGTTCAAAGAATTCCAAGCACAAGAAACATGAAGAAAAACACATCAAGATACACCTTAACTTCCAAAACAATATCAATGAAGAACAAAGCTGGAGGACTCACACTTCCTAGTCTCAACACTTACTACAAAGCTATAGTAATCAAAAAACTGGCACTGACATAAGGACAGACACACAGACCAATAGAACAGAATTGAGAGTCCAGAAATAAATGCACACATCTATTA